GATGCCTTTGAGTTGTGGTGTTGGAGGAGAATACTGAAAGTGCCATGGACTGCCATAAGAACCAATAGATCTGTTTTGGAAGAAGTGCAGCCAGAGTACTCCTTGGAGGCCAGGATGGCTAAGCTTTGTCTCTCATACTTTGGACATATTGTCCGGAGGAAACAGTTGCTGGAGAAGGATGTCATGCTGGGTAAGGTGGAGGGTCAGAGAAAAAGAGGAAGACCTCTAACGAGATGGATTGGCCAGGTGGCATCATTGATGGACTCAAGTGTGGCAGCGGTAGTGAGGTTGGCCCAGGATTGGACATTGTTTCATTCTGCTGTGCATGGGGTTGCTATGAGTTGGTTTCGACTTGATGGCACCTGACAACAACAACATGGTACCTTTAGTATTCTCCAATACCATAATTCAAATGCATCAATTCTTCTAGGGTCTTCCTTATTCACTGTCCAACTAAACATGCATAGGAGGCTACTGAAAATACCACCTCTTGGATCAGGTGAACCCGAGTCCTCAAACTGACATCTTTGTTTTTGGACACTTTAAAGAGGTCTTGTGCAGCAGGTTTGCCTAATGCCATACATCATTTGATTTCTTGACTGCTGCTTCCATGAGTGTTGATGGTAGAGCCAAGCAATATGAAGTCTTGGACGACTTTTATGTTTTTTCCATTTATCATGATGCTATTTTTGGTCCAGTAGTGAGGATTTTAATTTATTTTATTTTTATCTTCTTTACAAAGAGGTTCAACCCATACAGAAGGCTGTGGTGTTTGATATTCATCAGTAAGTATTTTAGATACTCTTTGCTTTCAGCAAGCAAGGTTGTATCACCTGCATATCAGTTTATTAATTAGTCTTTCTCCAATCCTGATTCCACGTTCCTCTTCATATAATCAGCGTCTATTATTTGCTCACCATACAGATTGAATAAGTATATTGAAAGAATACAACTGTGGCGCACACCTTTCCTGATTTTAAACCATTCAGTGTTCCCTTGTTCTGTTCAACGATTGACACTTGGTCCCATCGGCAAGGCTGGCAGGTCACAGGAGTCCACCGGAAGCACATTTGATGTAGCGCAGGCGCCGAGGGGCGGGGTCTGAAAGTCGTGTGAGAAAGCTCGCGCACAGCTTTCTCCTGGGTGTAGTCTTTGAGGCAGGCGAAAAGGAGAATTCTCTCCGGAACTACTACCAGTTGATGAATTGGTTGGTATTTTAAGTAGACAGATTGAAGAGGATCTCTCAACAATGGCTATTGTTGTGTAAATGAATCGCGCATTTTAGAAGCCGCTCTCGTGCCGGCCAATGGGAACCGCCGGCTGTTAGGATTCTGGGGACTGTAGTTCCAGGGTGAGTTCGCAGCTGCCGACTGGAGACACTTAGGATTTGGCCGGGCGTTGACCCCAGAGTGTTTGTTCATTCACGGTAAGGAGCTTGTGGAAAGCTTGGACCTAGTACCGGGCCAAGGCCGGAAGTGGAGTTGGGCTGACAGGGAGTGAGTCCAGTTCTGGGGCGGCGGAACTCCGCTCTACAGCTGGCTCCGGATGTTCTGTTTTGGAGAAGGGCGCGCTTGAGTTGCCAAGCGCTAAGCATCCTTTCGTCCTGGTGCTGCGGCTGGACTGTGGCGAGAGTGACTGGGAACTTCTAATTTGATTAATCTGGGACTGACAGTTCCCCATCATAGAGGCCTGCTCCGTTCCTGCATTTCCGGGGTTACTTTAGCTGTGGGAATGAGTTTAACCAAGAACAAATAGTCTAACATCCAATGTTGGCGGGGATTTTCTTGGTGGGGAGTGCTGACTCGATCCTATATTTTAGGTCCTGGTGTGAAGCCAGGACTTAATATGCATGTCAAAGTTTGCTTGCTTTTGGTTAGGGTTGGAGGCATCCTTGGAGGTAACTGAGCACCTGCAGGGGATGGTGGTGTCTCCGGACCTGCTGTGCCTTGGTTGGTAGCGGGGTGGAGAGGTGACTGGAGGTGAGCTTGATATTGGCATAGTTTCCCTAAGGGGCTGTGCTGAGTTCATAGGGTTTGAAGCCCTTGGATTTGTTAGGGCGTGGGGAGAGTTTGACTTGGCACCTTTAATGAATCGTCCCCCTGTGATAACGATCTGCACGGCCTGGGGCCAGCATCTGTTGTTTTTAAGTGCAATGGAGTTGGTTCCCACTTATGTGGACTCTGCATCTAATAGTTATTTCCTGAGCGGGAGCAGGTCTGTTTCCCTGGGACCTGCTGTCCCAGTTTTTTTGGTGGCAGCGACCTGCATTACTTTGTAACAAAAATCTACAGTAGCGTCTTTGTGGTGTGGATTACCATTTGGCAAGTTCAGTTTCAGATCTCAAGGGTGACCAAGGGCCTTAATCTTGGGTTTCCACCAGTCTCTATCTGACCAGTAAGACTGGTCTTTTTTTTTTTTTTTTTTTTATGATTTTGAGTTTTGTTCCACATTTTCTCCCATTCTATCCAGGACCTTCTAATGAGATCCCTTTCAGAGCAGTTGGTAGTGTTAGCTGGGCACCATCTGTTTCTTCTGGAAGTTAATGTCACGTGGTCCATTAGTCCATTGGATGTATTGTTTCCAAGCATCTTCAATTTTCCTCACTTTTCTTTCCTCTGGACATGGAAAGACCAAGAATTCCACCTTAGATGACTGTTTATGAGCTTTTAAGATCCCAGTCAAGTAACTAATCACTTTAGTCACTGTGCCCTGAAGGCTTCATTGCTTGTTGTTGTTGTTAAGTGCCCTTGGTTCTGACTCATAGTGACTCATACAGTTTCCAAGGAGCAGCTGGTGAATTTGAACTGCCGACCTTGTGGTTCAAACTGACCCAGTTTTCTTAGGGACAAATAATGTTTCAGTTTTCTCGTCTGTGCGCAAAAAAGAAATAATAGTGGCATCTATGTCTTGGCTATGTTGTGGAACTCTGTTTATTACAGTACTTACTTTATAAATGTTAGCTACTGACGTTGGTATTATTAGGAGAATTTAATCAGCTTAAGCTCAGTTGTGCTGCAATAGCACATGACCCCACAAAACTCTCAGCATCCAACTCTATTTCTCATCCTTTGTTGGTTGGTTTTGGCTCTTTACCATGACCTATTACAGCAGAACCAAGACTGAGTGTGAGCCCCTTTAGGAAACACGTTGCTGTCATGGCAGGTGAAAAAGAACAAGAGATGGTGGGGTCATGCAATGCTTAGAAATATCACTGTGAGTTTCACTCCTATACCTTGTGAAGGACTTTGCACCTGATCAACAGAATGGCATTGCAACTACTCCAAATGACACGGGCCGGCTTGAGCCTGGGAAGCTTGGGTCTTTGTTACACCTGGAGACACTCCCCCCACCCCCCTGAAATTCCAGGTTTCAGGAAAATCTCCATACCCCTGCTCAAATCTCCATACCCCCACCCATTGTAAACTTGCCAGAACTATACCCAGACCACACAGACTATAAATACCCCAGTCTGTAAGGGAACAGAGGGGCTCTTGGTCTCCTTTGGTGAAGAAAGAGTTCCCCCTCCCAGGTTTACCCTCAATAAACCTGCCTGCTGTTGAAGCCAAGACTCTCTGCCCTTGTCTCTTTCTTTCTTTTCCTTACACCTTGCCCAAGGTAGGTGACAAGGGTAGGCCTGATGTCTGGGAAAGGGAAGCATAATCCTATTACAGAGAAGATACATAGGGAAAACGAGAAAGAAAAATCAGTCATTGATTAGAAAAATTGCAATACAGTGTGATTAAAGTGATGTGTAGTTGGAGAGGAGAGGGGAATGGGTATATCTGCCTGCAGTGTCTGGGGATATATCAGGAAGAATGTCTTAGGGGTCAGCTAGCCTTAAAGGAGTCACTGGGTTGTTGTTAAGTGCTGTCAAGTCAGTTACAACTCACAGCCACCCTATGTATGATTTCCATGAAGCTGCTGGTAGGTTTGAACCGCCAACCTTGTGGTTAGTAGTCCAGTGCTTATCCTACAGAGTCACATCAGGACTCCAAAGGAGTCACTGGGAAGGGAAAACAAGCAAGGTCTCCACTACTACCTGCAAAGTTGACAGTTCACATCCACCCAGGGGCATCTTGGAAGACAGGGCTGGCAGTCTACTTCTGACAGGCCACAGCTTTGAAAACCTTATGGAGCAACTGTGCTGTGCACACACGGGGTCACCATGGATTGGAATGCACGCAAGGGCAGCTAACCCAGCAACAAGGCAGCGGTAGGACAGTAGTCATGTGGACTAAGCTCCTGCCCAGGGTGTCCGAGGACCTTCCAGAGGTGGCATCGCTCCTAATACCACTGCCTCCATTGACCACATGGGTGGAGGACTTTGACTATCCGGTCATGTGACATACACATGCATCAAGAGAAGGTGGAGTGTTATCTTTACAAAAGTCATGGTGAGATGAGGACAACTCAGTTGCAAACCCCAACTCCTCAGAGTATACAGACATAGGGAATTATACCTTGGGCAAGGGGAGTCAGCAGCTGACTGCTGCATGCTCTGATCAGTCTGGAGGGAGAAGTTGGAGGCTCTTTCTCCCCAGCATTAGGCCGTATTCTGTCTTCTCCCTGACTCAGGTAGCAGCAACTGATCTAGGACATGACAACTGAACCTGAGGTGTGGGGACAAGAGGGACATAGTAAATATTGACAGGTAAAGAAAAGAGGAAGCAGACCTGAGAGCTTATAGGCCTGAAGTTAATAAGGTAGACAGTCCAGAAAACCCACGTAGACTGAGACTGTGGTTGTGGAGTGAGGAGGGTGTGAGAGGACAGGATGTGTGCTGAAGAGGCCTGGGGTGAGACCTGGACAATAAACAATCGAGCAGCATCAAGTTGCATCTCCATCCCACAGGTCCTGGATGCATGGAATCAAGACGGGTGTTTATCATTGAGGTTTGAAGAAGTCAGCTGAGACAGCAAGAATTCATCTTGAGATGAAATAACTTCTAACTGGCTTGTGGCAGAATTTCAAGGCAGTTACTGGACAAGGCTGGGGCCATCATGCTGCCCAGTCCTTCTGCCCGTGGTGAGCAGGCCTGGGAGAAGATTCTGCCTTCAGTGAACAGTGAAGATATGGAGATCATGCAGGAATGGACCCAAGACCATAAGTCAAAAGGTGAGAGTTGATGAGGATTTAGGAAAGTGAAGAGGGGGACCAAGGTTCCAGGGTCAGGTGAGAGTGACCACAGCTGAGTCCACACTACTTCCTCCATCCCCTGGCTCAGAAGAGCTGCTCTGGGAGCATTATGGGAGTTCTGGTCTCTCACCGCTTCTCTTTCTTCCCTTAGGTTTGTCTCCTGAGGATACTGACCGATCCCAAGAGGAGGAGAGGAAGTCCCCTATACTGGTGAGTTGGAATTACCTTGATTTTCTGAAGTACTGGCTCATTTTCCAGAAACAGGCATGCCATGTATTTTCTCAGAATGGGAGAAGACAGTCAGTCAACATTTGGGGGTTTCATGGTCTCATGTCAGGTGCCATGTGAGGCATTTTAGAATGGTTGCTTTCATTTTGTGTTTTAATTTTCTTATTGGAAAATATACCTAAGATTAAGAACCCAGGCATCTCTGATAAGGGATATTTTTGAGGAAAAATGAGATTATTTAAAAGTTTGAATGTACTATTTAATTTCACAACACACTCACATACATATTATCTTACGAATCTTGTATACTGAGCATCTTTTTGATATTTCAGTTTTTAAACATACATAGAGATCATAGTGAAAATGGATTTCCGGACCCATCATGTACCTTCAACCATCTTCTACAGTGGCCAGCCTTAGTTACAGGAGTGTCATACTGTGTCCATAAATCTCACAACCTCAATATAAAATGTGAAAATACTCGATTTTTCTCCTTCCCTCCTCGGGGCTGATGCCTGCTGCCAACATAACACTTCTTTCTCTGACCCTAGTTACCTGGAGCCAGGTCAGATCTCACAAGTTTAAAGGCTACTACTGTTCTTCACTTTGCCATAGACACAGGCTCCAGGTACAGGTTTGAGAGTCCACAAACAAACCTCTTTTGTGATCTGCTGCCTAGAAATGTAGGGTGTGCTTTATGCTTTTGCATTGCCAGCCTCTAGCTGGGGAGCTGCAGTCCCTCTGCTCCCTGGGCTCCATGACCTCTCACCTGCTGGCTACAATTCGTGGGATTCATGGACCCTTTAGGATGCCAGCTGCAAGTTTAGGATTCCACTCTGGACTCCCTCACTTCTGACATGTTGGCTCCCACTACTCCTTAGGGTTAGAGAATTTTCTGGAGTCAGTTTCGACTCATAGCAAGACTTTCTAGGGTTTCTGAGGAGTAGCTCGTGGGCTTGACCTGCTGACCTTGTGGTTTGCCTTCCAGTGCTGGTTCTATAGTGCCATACCAGGAGCCCACAGAATTCATTAAAAGTGTTATTTTTATGATTACATCCTTATTATAGGAATACAGATATAAAAAAGAGATCATAGAGCAAAGTCTGGGAGGGTTCCCAATGTAGAGCTTCCATGAGCCCAAAAGGAATGCACTGCCATCCACATGCAGTGATGTCTTTCGCTAACCAGGAAGTCCAAAATCTTGCTCAGAGATTTTGCTGATTTCATTACACAGTCATGATTGATTGTATTAGCTCCTGTCTCCTAAGGTTAGCTTGAGTTGAAATAAGCAATTTGTTAGTAATGTTGATACACATCTGTATTTATGTCTTGCTCTGTGGACTAAAAGAGGTAGCAGAAAAGTTCATACTTTATGCAATTCTGCATACTTAATATATCTTGGCAGGTGAAATTTGAAACATTTTGTTGGACTAGGGTTATTTAACTGAACAATGGTAACTGAAATCCGTACATATTAATAAAGTGATGAGTTCCTGTATTCAAAGTGGATAAATTCTAAAAGACACAAACATTTAATTGTACGTCAACAAAGTGTTTGTAGGAACCCTAGGGAGCATTACTTAAATGCTTGACTGTCATCTGATGATTGGTGTTTTGGACTCCACAGGAAAAAGACGTGGCAAGTGGCTTCAGTGTTTAATGATTACTGCCTTCTAAACCCTCTGGGACAAATCTGCTTTGTTCTATAGGGTGATACTGTGAGTCGAAATTGACTCAATGGCAGTGAGTAAAAGTATTTATTATTATTTTAAAGATTATATTACCTATGAATATTCTTTTTATAGAACACTACTGCCACTCTTTAAGGAGCTCTGGTAGTGTAATGGTTACGAATCGGGCCGTGAACCGCAAAGTCAGCAGTTCGAAACTACCAGCTGCTCCGCAGGAGAAAGATGAGGCTTTCTGCTCCTGTAAAGATTTACAGCCTCAGAAACCCTGTTCAGGGTCTCTATGGGTCGGAACCAACTCGATGGCACTTAACAACAACAACTACCACTCTTTTGCCTATTATTGTTGTTGTTGTTAAGGCATATGTAAAGTACCAATCTGCATAATGAGTGCAGTGTAAAAGACTTTTTCATTGTTGTTGTTAAATGCCATTTGGTCATTTCAGACTCACAGTCACACTGTATAGGGTTTACGAGTAATGGCTGGTAAGTTTGAACCACCAACTTTGAAGTTAGCAGTCCAGTGCTTATCCTACAGCACCACACCAGGGCTATTGTTGTTATGTGCCTATCGAGCCATTTCCAACTCATAGCAACTCTGTATAGTTTCCGAGGAGCAGCTAGTGAGTTTGAACTGCTGACCTTGTGGTTCAAACTGACCTTGAGGTCCAGTGCTTTATCCCACAGTGCCACACCAGGACTGCAAGGTCTTTATTACAAGAGATTATTAAAATACAGAAACAAAGAGTGATGTAAAACTCTTTAGAAATGATCATTCCTGACCTCACTATTTACTCCCACTTTTCCCTATAGTTGAAGTGTCTTTCCATCTTCTCCTTTAACTTTTCACCATCCCTTATAGTAAGCACAGACCTTGCTGCCTTTGTTTCTTTCTGTCCCACCCTATACTCTCCCATAGCTGAAATCCTCCATTGTGAGTTCTCACAGTCACTTTCTGGAACACTGCTTTATGCTTTCAAATTCAGTCACAAATCATTTCTGCAATGAGGTCCTTTGTGAGTGAGGACCAGGCTGTGTTCTGTGCATCACCTGGCCTCCCCAAAGATGTGATCACAAAGCCAGGTGTCCACTCATGGCCAGAAGAACTTGATCTGGAGAGCTGTGCTCTCTGCAGAGAATTAGAGGAGCTTTTTCAGATCCACGCCCTTTAGGGTCACCCGTGAAACTCCTCTCATTGGGAGATGGATAGGGATGTGTATTGATTCACTGCTTATTCTAGGAGCCAGTTACATTCGAGGATGTCACTGTGGTCTTCACGGAGGAAGAATGGAATATGCTGAACTCTGAGCAGAAGAGCCTCTACAGAGAAGTGATGCTGGAGACTTATAGGAATCTGCTCTCACTGGGTGAGGGTGTGCTTTCTTTTCCTCCATTAATTCAGTAGATAATTGTCTACTAACTACTGTGTGCCAGAGGGGGCCTGGTGGTACAGTGATGGAACACTCAACTGCTAACTAGAAAGTCAGTGGTTTGGACCCACCAGGCCTCAATGAGGGAAAGACATGCAGTCTGCTTCTGTAAAGATTTATAGCCTTGGAAGTTCTGTGGGGCAGTTCAACTCTGTTTTGTAATGTCACTGTGGGTCAAAATTGATTTTGTCACAGTGGGTGTTTTGCAATTTCTGTGATCCAAAGGCTCCTGGATAGTGCAAACAATTTATGCTCAACCATTAACCTAAAGATTGGTGGTTTGAGCCCATCCAACAGCACTGCTGAAGAAATGCCTGGTGATCTGCTTCCATAGAGATGAAAGCCTGTAAAACTGCCTGAGCTAAATCAAAGAGAAAGAAAGAAAGAAACCCTGTGGAGCACTTCTCCTCTATAATGGTGCTGTAGCTGTAAGTTGGATTTGACTCAGTGACAACAGGTTTGGTTGTTTTCACTATGTGCTAGACACTCCAGAACACAATAAATGTAATAGTTAGGAATCCCTGCCCTCCCAAGGCTTACCATTGTATAAAGAGAAAAACAATTAAGTGTAAACTTGAACCACAGAGATATTTCATTATCGTATGTTAAAATTTGGTAAATGTTATGAAATATAAAACTAGTAATAAAATAGACAAAGGGGTATTGGGTGTGGTAGAGTAAGCTGCCTTAGTTTTGAAGCTGGGTATTTGAAATCAGAGAGGAGATAGCATTTGAACAAAGATAAAAGGTGGTGAGGGCATTAGAACTCTAGGTACCTAGGGTTAGCGCATTTCAGATGCAGGGAATTGTCCTTGGTATGAAGGCCTGAAGGAAGGGATGTTTCTGTTAAGCATGAAGAACTGTACCGTGTCCAGTGATGCAAGTGGCACAGTTTGCAAAGGGGATAGGAATGAGAGGTAACTTCTGCAACAGAAGTGAAAATTAAAATGCCAAAATTTGAATTTCATATAATTTACACATATATAAAACTGTTCATATGCTTTTTTCCCTAACCATTTAAAAATATAAAAAATATTGTTAGATTGTATGCTGTGTGGAAACAGACTGAATTTGGTGTCTGGACCATTGTTTTCTTATCTTTTGTTCTTAATCAGCACTGTCAGTAGAAATCTAATGGGAGCCTTCTAAGTCATTCAAGATTTCCTAGTTGTTCTTTTTGTTGTAAAGTGCTGTCAGATTGATTCCAGTTCATAGAAACCTTGTATATGGTTTCCGAAGCTTTTAAATCTCTGCTGGATCTGAAAGCCATGTCTTTCTCTTGCTGATGGGCTTGAACTGCTGACCTTGTAGTTCACAGTACTGTGCTTATCTTACAGATCCAGGAAATGTTAGGAAATGTTCCCCAAATTTCCTAGTAGCTTCGTTAAAAATTTAAAACTAAACAGCTTATTTTAACAGTATATTTTGTTTAACCCAGTATGTTACGATATTATTATTTTAATATTTGATTAATGTAAAAAATATTTATTACCTATTTCCTGGTATGGCGCTGTAGGATCAACACTTGACTGTGAACCATAGGTCGGCAGTTCAAACCCACCAGCTATTCCTCATAAACCGTATAGAGGGTCACTGTGAGTCTAATGGCACTTAACAACAACATTTACCTTTTTTTTTTTTTTGGCATGAAATCTTCAATCTGGTATGTAGTTTACACTTAGATCACATCTCAGTTCAAACTAGACATATTTCACATCCTCAGTAAGCATATACAGCAAGTGGCTATCATATTTGTTACTGCATTTCTAGATATTCTTGTCTTTCTAGAGAAACCCTGTAGAGACACAAATCAGTCCCAGATAGAAGTTTCTTTCCATCAGCATGGCTTTTTCCTGATGCTGATGTCCTGCATTCCATTTTCATCTTCTTGGACATGTTTTGATGTGATTTGAACAAGCCCCGTCATGAGCTGGTTCCATCAAACTCAATACGTGTCGTTACCAACTTACAACATGCAGGAGTTGTGATGAACTGCACTTGGGACTGTCCATTTTGTTTCTTTTTTTGTACATCTTATGGTTAGTAAAATGTATTATATACAGTGTTGTAGCATGTAGTTTTCTGATGTTATCATTCTTATACCAACACCAAAAGATAAATATAGATTAGATTTATACAGATACTGATAATAGAAGTCAGTAATAATAAAAACAAAAAAAACCCAACAGTGTGGTTTACAACTTAGGCATGAAACAACTTATGACTGAGCTGTTGGAACAAAACTCTATTGTAAACCGGAACACTTGTACACATTTATCCATTTCTATCTGTTTTGTGTGCTTTGGTTTGGCCATAGCTAGTCAATCTAATTGACTGAAAGTTGTTGTTGTTGTTAAGTGCCTTCAAGTGGATTCCAACACATAGCAACTCTGTATAAGGTTTCCAAGGAGCAGCTGGTAAGCTTGAACCACCAACCTTGAAGTTCACATGATTTTGCAGTCTGCTGCATTAGCCCACAGCGCCACACCAGTACTCCAGTTGACTGAAAGTAGCAGTCAGTAAATCAAATGGATCATTGTACTGGCCAAATCTGCTACAAAACAGCTTCTTTAAATGTTAAAAAGCTAGGATATCTCCTTGCTGATTCAGGTGTACCAGACCCAAGCCATGGTGTTTTTTATTACCTCATATGCACACAAAAACTGGGTAATGAGTAAGGAAGACTGAAAAAGAATTGATGCATTTGAATTATGGTGTAGACAGAATATTGACTATACCCTGGACTGCCAGAAGAATGAAGAAGTCTGTCTTAGAGAAAGGGTGCTCCTTAGAAGTGAGGACGGTGAGATTTTGTCTCACTTTGGACATGTTATTAGGAGGGGCTAGTCCCTGGAGAAGAACATCATGTGTTGTAAAGTAGAGGGCCAATGAGAAAGAGGGAGACCTCAATGAGATGGATCAATATAGTGATTCCAACAGTGGGCTCTAACATAACAATGATTGTGAGAATGGCACAGGGTCAAGCAGTGTTTCGTTCTATTGCATGTAGAACCACTATGACTCAGGACTGCCTCAGTGACCTCTAACAGTGAGGGCCAGACTTTGTCTCTTATACTTTGGACATATTGTCAGGAGGGACCCATCACTGGAGAGGGATATCATGTTTAGTATGGTGGAACGTCAGAGAAAAAGAGGACCCCCAGCGAGATGGATTGGCAAAGTGGCAGCATCAATGGGCTCAAGCATGGCAACAATTGTGAGGTTAGCCCAGGACTGGGCATACTGTTTTCCAGAGTGGTTGAACCATCTTACAGTCCTGTCAGCATTGTAGGAGGTTCCCAGTCTCTCCACAACCTTGCCTGCATTTGTTGTTTTCTGTTTTTTTGAACTTCACTGTTAACACTGGTGTGAGATGGTATCTTATTGTTTCTATTTGCATCTTTTTAAGGGCTAATGATCATGAATATTTCTTCATATGTTTGTTGGCTGCCGAAATGTCTTCCTTGGTGAAATGTCTTTCATAAGTTTTAGAGACTAGTCCCTAAATTTTTTTTCCCAGTCTGTGGGCTCCCTTTTTACTTTTTTGATGAAATGTTTTGATGCATGTACGTTTCTAATTTTCAGTAAGTCACAATTATCTATTTTGTCTTCTATTGTTTGTATTTTTTTTGCTATGCTTGATAGTATAGTGTATGTTTGCCATGTATTAGAGCCTCTAAGGTTGTCCCTATTTTTTCATTGATGATCTTTATAATTCTAGCTCTTTAATATTTAGCTCTTTAATCCATGTTGAGTTTGTTTTTGTATATGGTGTGAGACATGGGTCTCGTTGCATTCTTTTGCAAATTGATTTCCAGTTTTGCCAGCACCATTTGTTAAAGAGACTATTTCTCCCCCATTTAATGTGTTTTGGCCCTTTGTCAAAGCTCAATTGGATATACATATAGGTTGTCACTACAACAGTATAGTTCTTAAAAGTTATTTGAAAGTGGCACTAAATTCCACTGACCTTGTTTGGTCAAGGAAAATCACACAGCCACATGTAGTGCCGTTGTGGTTGGAAAGATAAATCTGCAAGGATGGACTCAGTGGGGAAGGGCTGCAAATGTTTTGACCAAAATACAATTTACTATGAGAGGGGAAGCTTGATTTAAGTCTTAAAAGAGGAATAGGATTCAGTTCCCTGAGTGGTGCAGATGAATAATGCACTGGCTACTAAGGTTGGTGGTTCAAGCCCACCTAGAGGTGCCTTGTAATAAAGGCCTAGCGATGCCCTTCTGAAAAATCACCTCTTGAAAACCATGTGAAGACAGCTCTACTGCCACACATGGCACTGTGAGTCAGAACCAATTTATGGCAATTTTTTTTTTTTTTTAAATGGGGGTCAAGGTGCCTTGGTGTGATGCTGTAAGATAAGCATTGAACAGCTAATCACAAAGCTTGCAGTTCAAACCTACATCTGTGCTGCAGAATCCCTATACAGGATTGTGAACAACAACAACCATAGGTGAGGGCGGTAGCACTATCCTGTTTATTTAGAAAAAGCTAACAGGCAGAGGTTACTGGGGATGGGTCACCTTCCAAATGTATGTATAGTAAAAGAAAAAAATGTATATATGTTCTGAGAAAAAAGACAAAAGAACTGCCATATGACCTAGTAGTTGCATTCTTTGATATATATCCAGAAGACTTTAAAAGCAGAGACTCAGAAGTTTGTACACCAGTTTTCATTGCAGCAGTCAGTGTTTGTATGTAAAATATTGCAAGTAATATAAATGTACCACAATGGATGAATGGATAAGTAGGATGTAATACATACATTTAATGAAATACTACTCAGCCAACAGGAGACATGAAATTTTCATGTTGTTTTTATTATTAAGTGCTGCTGATTCGGTTCCAACTAACACCCACCTTGTTTGTACAGGGTTTCCAAGGTTCTAAGTCTTTGTGGGAGCAGAAAGCCTCATCTTTTCCCACAGAGCAGCTGGTGGCCTCGAACTGCTGCTAATCC